GGTCACGATGATGGTGGTGATGATGATAAAGTCAGGGCAAAGTCAAGGCATCAATTCCACACAGCGTGGCTTTCGCTGACCCTGGAAACTGAAAAGTGCCTCCGGAGATCATGGAGCAGCGCCTCTAGACCGACCTGGTCTGCTTGGCAGTTCTGCTAAAGGTCCGACACCCTGCACCGGAGTGTTGAACCTGAAAGAAGATCCCGGACGTGAGGCTAGACAGTCTCCGCAAAACCACAGCGGGTGAGCAGGGTCTCAGAAAGAATCCGAAGAGTCTTCGACAAAGAGCTGCCAGTACAAGTGCTATTTGAAGGATGATACCGGTATCAGGTTTGCGGGCCATGGCCAACATCAAGTTATCGAACACTTAGCTTAAGCGCTGGCGCCACGTCTGCGCAGACCTCCCATAACTCCAATGCAAGACTACGTCAATGCTACGTGGGCCTTGAGTGCACCAGTAGTCCTAAGGCCCCGATGAAACTCCCAAGACCCCTGGGCTGCAAGCTTCACATGTTTCGCCGGTTTGGAGCTTGGGTTCAGATTCAAGCTTTCCTGCTGCGCACCTCGAATGAAATATTAGAGTTATTAAAGTCGGTGTATAGAGTTTAGGGATCACTCCTAAGTACTAAACCCTCCCTGCAAAGGCACGAAGTCTGGGCTGCTCGCCTTTCGGCTGCCACGTTCATTCATGCCGCAACTCTGAGGCACTCAGATTGCCCAGATAGATGTTCGGCATCTACTGACTTGCCTATATGCTGATGATTTGGAAGTCCTGTGCACTACTGCGATACGACGCCTATAAGAGCTACTCGGAGGATGTCACTGCCATATTCTTGGTGTCCTCGTGGTGCTCGGGTCATGGTTGTAAGGTAAGACCGTTCACTGTGACAGCCCATGATACCTACACACTTCTACAAGGCTTTCCGGAACTCAGCTTTCAAGCAAAGGCCCATGTCGAGTTCAGGGTGGTGGGCATCTGTGAGATAGACGAGTGTCGACTAGCCATGTCATGGACTCATAATGCCAACTTGTGGTGGCATGGCGGATACATTGAAACAAAGACTAACATAAAGCAGCTTCAGCATTCAATTCAAACCCGCTCCAGCACTCTCGTGCTTCAGCACATTTCGGCGCATTTCAGATCGGCAGCATACACATGTCCCACATGGCACAAACACTACAGCAATTGAAACGCTTGTTCTGTGACCTCTCAATACTCAAACATTCTCTTTTCCACTATCACCACCACTTGTCCGGAACTGTCGTACATTAGAACCCGTTGGCGCAGCGAGGCTTTACGGCGCGTCCACGCTTTTTTCCGGGAGCCGGAAATGCAATCGCTGCAGGCCGAGATCGTTTGCGAAGCAACCGTGCGAGCCTCGAGTCGTCTTTTCTGCATGCCAAAAATGGGGTTTGGGGTTTATTTAGGTTTTATGCCTTTGCGTTCTTGCTTGTACAGAAACCAAGATCTTGAGATACTGCTCTCAATCTGGGGGAGAAGAAGCTGCAAGCAGAACTAGATTAGCTTTCTTGGCAAAAGAGGGGGAGACAGGAGTGCCAACGATGACACACAAGTGACCGAAGTCCGCTTCAGTCCTCTGTGAGAAAAGGGTGAACTGAATGACAGATTCCTCTACATTGCTTGCACCAGCACCCAGCGAATCCAACGAAGGCAAAGTTGTTCAGACGAGTGACGGTTGTGGAAGCAGTTCATGTACGCGCGAGCGTCCTGTGGCTTGTCACGCGCCTAAAACAGCCCGATAACGCTACGATACGCTTTGGACCTCGTCTCAAGCTATTGCTTGCCAGAGGCTGGATGCTTGAACTCAGTGCGGATCAGGGCTCGACAAGGCTGTCCCTGTCCCTTTCTGGCGCGCCCGTCCTTGACCGGATGGATCCAAGCATTCCTCATCAAAGGACGCACTGTGAAAATAGTCAAGGCGGCGAGTTGCTTGACATCATGCCCAACAACACATCGTCGGCAGCAGCACATGCTGCCGTCATGGTCCTCTTAACGGCTACCGTCATGATGACTCATCATCAACATCATCATGATCATCGGCACAAGCAATAGACCAATCGGCTCTGTTCGTTGCACCCGAGCCGCTGGAAGTCCCTCGCTCGGAGAAGCCCGCAGACGTCGAGGCCGTGGTGAGCCTCGCGAGGCTTTTTGGTGAGCACGGTCGGGCCTTCGCAGCACCTTTGGAGCATCAGGATGTGCTCTCGGCACTTGGATGTTTCGGGGTTCGAAAGGTGTAGGAAAGCATAGTCAGCTGAGAGGCTGTAGTGCTGACTATCTTGGTATAGATTTGCGCGTGCTGTGAGGCATGAAAATATGCCACAGCCACATATACTGGGCTTTCTTAGACTTAGGGGTGCATTGCTTAGTAGTCTGGACGAAAAGCATTCCACCTTTTGGGGTTGAGCGGCACCTCTTCGAAGCGCCGTGCCCAGCGGCAAGCATGAAGATCCTGCGTCATGCGGCAATCAATGCTAGCGTTCGAGCTTGCGGCCCAAGTTGTATTCCTCGGCTATACACGAACTGCATCCGATGCCCGATGGAAGGCTCTGTAACGACTCGTGGTTTATGATTTTTGAGTCTGCGGCCTAGGATTTGGGCATGTTTGGCGGTCACGGAGGGCACTGAGCCAAACAGTTGCAGATCTGGTCTAACCCCGAACCATGTCAGCATTGCTCGTTGACTAGCAAGATGCACAAAGAGTGCGCATCCGGAATGCATACAGTAGAGTCTCCGCATACCTGCTAGCTTGCCTCTGAAACTATCAAGCAGCAAGTTGCCGGGACCTCAGAGTGGTGTGAAAGGTACTGCTGGTACAGGCTGCATGTTCCGAGCAGCCACAGATGGTTGAAACTCACAAACATCCACATTGGGCCATGTCGGGACAAAGTGCTCTGTCCTCGTAGTTCATGCGATGACCCACCTCGCCATGCACACGTCGCAAACTTGCGTCGAGATCCACAGCGCAGTCTTGTCTCAAGAGATACCGAGGACATTCTATGCTCAATGACTCCATAGGATCGAGGACCAAGGACAACTTCTGACCTACTGTCGCCACTTTCACGGCTTTGCGGAAGCTCGCCACCCATTCAGCCTCCGGGTTCTGGGTCTGCACGATCCACCGCACCACATCACCTGCTCAAGGCTGTGCCGTTCAGATATCGTGAACCCAATGCTATGGAATCCAAGCGGTACCCGTATGTTCGAAGTGACCTCACCTTGCGATACCGCTGCTGATGGAAGCGTGCCGGAGAATCCGTTCTTCATTCTGAAAACTTCTGCGGGCACTCCTGAGAAGCCGTAGAGGGATCCGGCCCCACAAGGCTCGATCTCAACAGCGCCGGGGCAGCCAGCGAGGAGGTGCCTAAGGGCCCGGGCTCTGACAGACCAACGCTTCGAAGCCTCTTAAAGACCTAGACTTTACCCTGGCAGAAACTGCCGTGATTTAATTCCAAGCTCGGGAAGTGAACGGCTAAGCGGCTAAGCAAGGAGGAATATGCATTGTATACCCAGCAACTCCACAAATCCCGATTGATGTGGTTTCCACCGTGAACTTGGAGGATTCGCCAGGGCACGAGGGCGCTCGCTCACACAGGCGACCCAAGTACAACCTGACGAGGGTCTTAGGGCATCACAATCGTCAAAATCATAATCTAACCATACTCAAGTGTCACAGAAGTCTCGTCTGAAAGAGCCGAGTCATTCGGTTTCAAAACGCCGGCGCCTGTGCCTAATCACAACTGGCAACACCACAAGCCTGCAAGAGCCTAGGAGCTATCGTCTCGTGGCTCCAATTGACAAAAAAACTAGTAACTAGGGATTACGAAGCTCGACATGACCCCACCCTCTGCAACACTTCACTACAATTAGATCCTGGTGTCGATGAAGTGCCTCCTGATGTCACGTCGTGCAGGCGGGAGGAGGCCTTGGATGTCGATTAAGCCTTCAAACCACGAAGCACCGTTTAAGAGAGGTCGCTTGCCAAGGGCCCATCTGGTAGGTTCTGTCTGCTACAATTTTGAAATCTGTTGAAGAGGCATCTTTGGGTTGAGGCTCCGGCATATGTCCCTCAATTTTGCGAAGAACCTGCTGTCAAAACAAGACAGACCTCTGACTTCGCGAGGCCAGGCACCGAAGATTCGCCGCAGCATTCGTGGGACAGCTTCGCGCCAGTCCACCATGGTGTCCTGGGAGAGGAGCCATTGGAGCAACACCTGGACGAGCAAGCCTACGCCCTGCAGTCTGAGCTTCCGACGCCATCTTGGTGAAAAATTAAATCGGCATTTGGGAAGTGTTGCACCGCCCACCTGAGATGCTATGGGCCAAGGGTTTCACTCTCTCGGCTACCAAAAGACACAAAAAGTGAGCTCGCTAATCATTACGTTGCCCTTAGCGTGCTCTTCCTCATGGCATGTATGTCACTGCACGTCTATGCTTCCGCGTCTCGAAGCATGCCTGGTCCTATTACCATCGCTTCGCGGTGAAAGGCTTACAGGTCAAATGCCTGTCCTACTATCCTGGTACATGCAATGATCGAGCGCATGGGGCCCCAGATCATGTCAATGCTAATGGGTAGAAAACACCAAGGCATCAGTAAGCAAAATTCGAGCGGCGCAAAGGAGAGGAAAGACTTCTCCGAGTTCTGGCCTTAACAAGGAGCACATTTCAGGCATACAGCTCGGGAAGGTTGCAGCGCAGGCCCGAAGCACCAGAAAACATATCTGACTATCCTCGCCATCTGCAGAAGTGCAGGGATCGTCTCGGAACAGTTCCAAAGCATAGCTGATCTTGAGGTGAGACAATGCTGATCCCTTGCTAGATCCAACTAAGGGAGTGTGAGGATTCAGTCCTACTGGAATACTAGAATCCAGATGTAGAAGTCCTATTTCCTCGGCAGGCCTTCAAAGGTTCAATACCCGCCCACCCACAAACTCCAAATCTCCATCCCGGCAGCCGGCAGTGATGAAGTTGTCAGTCCTTAACTGGTCAGTCTCAGTTGCCAAAGGCTAGTGACGCTTGCACTCTAGCTCTGCATCATCCCTGGACCCCATGGACAATCTGAGGCTCATGTTCAACCGCGCCAAATCGCCGAAGGTCTGCGCCTCCCCAGGAATCAAGCTGTTTTTGCTCGACACCTCATGGTTGAGAGCTTAGACTGTGGTCAAAAGGTTCTTTCAGAATAGTGAAATAGAGAGCCCGCTGTTCGCTCCCCCTAGCGACATATATCCCATGATGTCCCTAAGCACTCATTGCTAGAACAACGGGGTCATAAGGCGAGATATACAAGTCGTGAGCAACTTTTCATGAGCAACGCGGGGTCTTGGAGAAACGAGAAAAGTGCAGAGGCAACATGCGACCTCGAGTTGGAGTTGGTCCATCTGTCGCGCAGGCGGGAGACCCACCGCGAAGCGCGCGTGCAGAGCCACCTCGGTCCCAAGGGGCCTCAAAAAGCCATAGTGGGGCGATCCGGTAACCTGAAGTTCTATACAGAGAGGATGAAACGGTTGAAGGAGACTGAGACTTCAAGGACTCTGAGGCTGAGCTGCATGACACCCCTCAGCCAATCGGGGATGGTTCTGGAAAACTTGAGATCCGCTGCTTTGGTGTGCAACCTCTACGGATTCAAAGCAATGTCATCGTGACGAATATCCACTCTGGCTGCAGCAAGCCGGGGTGCTGGACATCCCGCTGTGACGCCGACGGCGAGCTCCTGACGCAGGACTGAGGGCTTAAAGCAACTTAGCTGAATCCCGGTGAGAGGCCATGTGCACATAGAGGTAGGTGTAGGTGTGTGTGTGTGTGTCTGTGTGTTGCTTGCTTGCTTGCTTGCTAGCTTGCTTGTGTGATTGTGAGAGAAATAAGAAGATCATGCTCTTATTTATATGCAGATATGCACATATATACATGTGTGTGTATATATACGTACACATGTAGATGATCAGTTCTTGGTGAACAACAACTACAGTCGATGTAACAGCAATACGTAGCACCCGTGTATATGTATATCTATTTATCTATATATATATATGCGTGTGTGTATATATATACACACACACGCAATCATACGCATGTACAGCTGCATGTATAGATAGATGCCGTTACATTCAAGTTCATGTAGGGGCTTCTGGCCCTCGACTACTTGCTTCCTTTCTCTAATCAGCTGGCACAGCTGCTGGAATTACATCCAAATTGTCACACGAATCGCATAGAAACCTGATGTTTCAACGACCTCCACCAAAGATGTGCTCTTTCCTCCTCAACTGCTGAACCCCGAATGGATCACTGCAACTCCCTGGTCGAAAATTCTTAAATTTGCAGGTATCGAGTCCGGACATGCCAGACCACCACAGAAACCCCAACTAAGCCGCATCCTCCCATGTAATCGCGTTATCGTCCTAGGAAGCAATGACCAGGCTAAGAAGCTGCGAAGACAAGTTGGCGAGATGCAGTACGCAACACTGATCTGATCTCCCAGACTGTTCTGTTCTGAAGGTCGCAGGGCCGAACTTGTAAGCAAGGGTTCCGGATTACTACAGTGCTGCAAACTCATGAACAAACCTAGCTATGCACAAAAAATGCTCGAACCATGGATCTGTCTGTATACATAAGGAAAGTTGGCTTTTGCCAGGGCTAATTAGGATTTAGGGAACACCCGAGGGTCTACCAGGAAATGCACAAACAACCAATGCGAGTAGAACAATCCGTGGAACTGCGCAAAAGTGTGCTTGCAAAAGCCCAGGCCCCATGACAGTCCCTCTGCACATAATAGAGAAAGACAACAGGAAGTGAGCAAGGAAGCAGGGTTAAGAAACAACCAGGATCAAGCAGAGGCTTACTGGTGTGCAGCAGTCAGCCTCCAAAGTTTTCCGGACCATGGCTCGCCAGGAGAAGGCCTCAGACTGCAGCTCGGGGCAACTGTAAATGATGAAGGTTACATATTCTACGGCGCATATAAACATATTTATACATATATATATATACACACATTGATATATATATATAATACGCACACTCCAAGGCAGCATTGGGGTGTCCGGGGCGGAGGGCTTTCAGCCGTCGAAGATGGTGAACCAGGCGGTCCCACAAGTCTTGGCCAGGCTCTATAGAGAAGCTGAAGCGAAAAAGAACGAGCACCACCACGACAGGTTCCAAACCTAGCAGCTTGTTTTTGTGATGCAGAGTTCAGATCCGAAAGAGGAGCCGTTAAGCCCATCGCACTAGCTACAACGAGCTTGCCAAAACGATTACTAATCATTCAACTCTACGAGTAGGTGCATATCTGTCAAGGCAAACGGTGAGGAAAACCTGAGCGATGCGATCCAGTTGAAAAGTACCCTTCATGCCCATAAGATACGACGTGAACGCTGCTGGCGGTCACGGTCCTACCATTGAACTCTACCAAACCTGAACGAACACAAAAGCCGTCAGCGCAGCTGCCGGAGCCTCGACTGGAGTAGCAATGAGGGCGACCACCTCTAGCGCCTGATGCACCCAGACATACAGATATGTAGGTGTGTGTGTATATATATATATAAGCATGTATACCCTTACAGATAGATAGATAGGTAGGTAGGTAGGTAGATGGAGATAGACAGATAGACAAGTAAAAAGATAGACAGATAGATATACACATATATACTCATGCATATGTCTCTACATATACTTGTGAATGTGTAAGTAAATATATCTGCACATGCATTTGCACACACCTACACGTACATACACACGATCATACATACATACATACATACATACATACATACAGACAGAGGGACAGACGGACACCCCGGCAGGCAGGCAGGCAGGCAGGCAAGCAGGCAGGCAGACAAACACACAGACATACGGACAGACAGACAGACAGCCAGCCAGCCAGGCAGGCAGGCAGGCAGGCAGACAGACAGGACGGACAGACACAGATAAGTACATACATACATTCTTTCTTGTTTCTATGTGTGCATAGATGTACTCGTACAATAAAGCACTTTGTCAGGTCTGCAGTGGCAGTAAACATATGTCTGAATGCCTGGGAGTTGCTTTCTTAATCAGTATCACATTCTGCCTCGTGTCGGCTAGTAGTAAGTTGGATAGGAAGTACCAAGATCAGTGCCAATCGAAACGGAAGACCTGAAACGACGGAGGTGGCGAGGATGCAGGCGATGAAAAAAATAAATAAATCGAACGCCACGTGTGATGATGATGATGGTGGTGATGATGATGATGACGCAAGCGAATCAACAGAGACAACCATCGCAACTTACTGGCAGTGTGCATACAACTGGCGACAAGTACAAGATGTAGACGTAGAAGAAATGCACGCCGACCTCGGCTGGTCCACCATCGCCGCGTCTGGAAACTCGATTCCTTGCAAAGAAGATGGGACTTCGCCGGCTACAGGGATGTTACCACAATGATTATTACCATTGTTGCTAGTTTGGGTTCTGCTGTGACGCTTGGCATCGCTCCTCTTCGCATTGATACTAGTAGTGATGGGTAGTGATTATCCAGCTAAAACGCTCTGGTCAGCTATGAGTCTAAACGCCCAATGTCGAAGACCGACCTGCTAGGAGCGAGGCGTCAGCTCCGCGTATCTCAACAAGCACTTAAAAAGTCCAGGGAGATCATCACTGCGGCCCCAGTTCTGAAACCCAGGGCCGAAGCCAAACGGTAAACACCTATTATAGACCGTAAACCCGAAACACGATGCACTCAGCTCTTGCCGGGGATCGGAGCCGGGCATTCTACACCGGACCATGCAGGGGTGGTCAGGTGGAGGAGCATCTTCCTCTCGCTTGCTCGCACTGCTGTCGCATTTCTGGTGAATGGATCGCCAGTTGTACCGAGCGCAACAACACATCATCATAACTGCCGCTGCTGCTACTTCGCGTGCTGTTGTGCTGGGGACTTCTGGTGGACAACAAGCCTACATGCTGGCTCAGCCAAGTTGGGCAGCCAGAACGAGGGAACCAACCAGGCAAAGAAAACGACATACATGCATGGGTACATACACACATACATACAGACATACTTACCATCTAGAATAACCCCAAACCCTGAAGCCCTTACCCGGATGCCCGATACAACGCTCAGACCCAACAGTCCCAAGATGTGTGCATTAGGTCCCTTTGCCCCGAAGCTCGAAATAAAGAGGAAGTCTAATGAGTTGCTATTTCGGTGACTCGGGCTTAGAGCAGCAGCAATCGAGCAAGCAACACGCCATACCAGCTTTTTGCCGCGGGGTTTAGGGACTCAAGCCCCGCTGTGCAGCCGGAAATGAAACTTCATGCAATGATAGAACGGAAAGCTCTACAAACTCTCAAGCCCAGGCCCTCCACCCTCAACCCTCTAGCCTGACCCCTATGCCTATACCCACAAGCCAGTATGGAACCCTTCCTTCTGGGACCTCAGATCAGAGGAACGCTTCATAAACCCCGCGTGCAATCCAACCCTCAGTGACTCAGGCAGCCTCACGAGGAACTGTCGCAAATCCGGCCGTCCATCGGTGATGTGCAGGAGGAACGCATAGAAGTCCTCCACGGGAGCTTTTTAAAATGAATAAGCTGTGCCTTTTTTAGGGTTTAGGGGTCCTCATCACATGTGAGTATTTTGATTTCCGCCCGTTCCCCATAGGCCCTGTATTTGCCAGGGTTTCTTCCCACCCGAAGAAGTCATAATGTAGTATAACTGTATATCTGTTTGGTGGCCATGAGGGGAGTAACTCAGTAAAGGCGCTTATTACTTATTACTCCATCCTAAACCCTCAACCCTTAGCCCTAAACCCTTAGAGCCTTAAGACCCCCAAACCTTCAAGCCTGAACTCAACTTAAAACCCTAACTAAGCCCTATAAGCCTTAAGCCCTACACCCTAAGCCCTGAATACGTTGCGCCAGTCTCAAGACTGGCCTCGTGCTCGCGAGGCGCCGAGGAGTTCCGGGCCAGGACCACAGTGAGCAAGGAGAAGCACCGTAGAGCCATGTGCAGCCATGGCGCAGGTGACGGGGTTATAGGGGTTTAGGGGTTGAGGGTTTAGGGGTTTCGGGTTTAAGGGTTTCGGGTTTAGGGGGTAATCTGGTTTCAGGGTTCAGGAGCTGAGGGTTCCAGGCCTTCGAAGGACCGCCTAATTATCGCTCGGGAAGGCTTCCGATCTGATCTGCAAAAGACTGCTAGACAATGCTGAGGCAGATCATGATCCGGTTCAAGTTATAATGTTACAGCAACCGCAAACAAAGTGTGGGCAGCGCTAGTTGGCAACACAGTTATGGCGCGACTGCCGAGTGCCGAGCTTCCACAATGTTCATGCTGTGATACGAAAGCTTCAGAGGCTTTTGGGTGGGACCAGGTGTGTGTCATTGGATTGTGCTCACGATTATCATTGCCAACACTGTAACTCATCCCTCTCATGGAAGGAATGAATATATGAAGCATGAGACCGCGGCATCTGACTCAAACTGCTTGCGGCAATGGAGAGGGCTGTGGAGGGAAGAGGATTAAGGGTGGGTCAGGCCAGCAGGCACAGCGGCTACGGGATCTGGCGGCTGCGAAGTCGGCGGCAACAGGCTTAAGGGGTTTTGGATTTAGTTAGGGTGTAGGGGGTGGCTCGTCTTGGGTATAAAAAGTCGGTTATCACTGTATCACTAAGCAGAATTGGCATTGGCTTGTAACTATGCAACGTTTCACAAGAAACGGGAACTTGGGGCAGGGGCAGGGGCACCGTAGCCTCATTCTTACGGTACGGAAGCAACGTTGAGTGCACCTTAAATGAAAAAGCGACCGTGCCTTAGACACAAAACCCGAGAGTATCTTACATAGCGTGCCCCAAACCTCTGCGCCTACTCCTCCTGCTACTACTGCTGCTGCTGCTGCTGCTGGTACTACTATTACTACTGCTGCTACTACTACTATTCCTACTCCTACTCCTGGCCCTACTCCTACTCCTGCTCCTACTCCTACTCCTACTCCTCCTCCTCCGCCTACTACTACTACTACTACGACGACGACGACGACTACTACGACGACGACGACTACTACTACTACGACGACTACTACTACGACGACGACTACTACTCCTACTCCTACTCCTACTCCTTTTCCTACTCCTACTCCTACTCCTACTCCTACTCCTACACCTACTCCTACTCCTACTACTACTACTACTACCACTACTACTACTACTACTACTACTACTACTACTAGTACTACTAGTACTACTAGTACTACTAGTACTACTAGTCCTACTACTCCTACTACTCCTACTACTACTACTACTACTACTACTACTACTACTGCCACTACACCACCTATTACCACCTCTACCACTGCCACCACCACTATCACTGCCACCACCACTACCACCACTACCACCACCACCACCACCACCACCGCCACCACCACGACCACGACCACGACCACGACCACTACACGAACACGCCGCTACCACCACCACCACCACGACCACGACCACGACCACGACCACTACCACTACTACTACCACAACTACTAC